CATTTAAATTATAAATGACTGATTTTCAATAAAAGAATCTATAAGATTAAAACCTAAACTTTTTCTTCCTTATGAATTTTGGGTGGTAAGCCTCTTAGCTTGCGTATCCAGTCTTTAAACTGGAAGCTCAGCAACATTAATACAGGCACGAGGATCAGGGTCAGGAAGGTGGCAAAACTGAGCCCGTAAATCATAGCCCAGGCGAGCGGCCCCCAGAAGGCAGCACTGTCACCACCAAAATAGATATGAGGATTTAACTCACTGAACAAGGTAGCAAAGTCGATATTCAGGCCAACGGCAAGCGGTATCAAACCAAGTATCGCGGCCGTAGCGGTCAGCAGTACCGGCGTCATACGGGTACGCCCGGCTTCGATAATCGCATCATAAGGCTTGATACCTTCTTTGAGTAGCTGATCCATAAACTCTACCAGCAGGATACCATTTCTAACCACAATACCCATCAGCGCAATGATACCAATGCCACTGAACACCATAGAGAATAAGGTTCTGAAAATACCCAAGCCCAACAGCACACCGAAGATACTCAGGATGATCTCGAACATAATGATCACCGTACGGCTGAAGGAATTGAACTGCAGGATCAGGATAAGAAAGATCAGCGCCACCGCTGTAAGACCGGCCGTACTTAAAAAGTTCATCGTTTCTTCCTGGTCTTCCTGCTGACCACCCATGCGGGCTGTAACACCTGCGGGCAGCTTAAAGTTATTGATCTCACTCTGTATATCTGCCACCACTTTATTCACATCATAATCCGTAAGCAGGTTGGATGATAAGGTAATGATACGGATCTGGTCTTTACGTTTGATACCACCATAGGTGTTATCATAGTATACATTGGCAAAGGCACTGACCGGCACCTGGCGGATCACACCCCCCATTCCCATATCCCGGTAAATGATCGGCATATTACGGACGGCATCAATATTCTCCCTTTGTTCTTTAAGGATACGTAAGGTGATCGGGTAATCATCTTTCTCATCACGGAAGCGGGAGATTTCTTTACCAAATACGGCCGTACGCAAGTTACCTACTACTGTGCCCGTGGTAATATTCTCGTTGTTCATCCGCTCACGGTCCAGGTCAAAAACGATTTCGGGTTTGTTGGCCTGGAAGTCACTGCGCAGCTCTTCTACGCCTGCTATTTGCTTATCGGAGAGATATTTCTCCAGTCTTGCACTGGCAGCTACCAGCGTATCCAGGGTATCTCC